TTATTATTATTATTATTATTATTATTATTATTATTATTATTTTGTGGTGATTAGCAACTACAGGCCCCCTGGAGTAGGTGTCATGAGCTCCTATAACTGAGAGAAGACTGAGAACTTTGCCATTTGGATTAGAGGGTGCTTCCAAACTTTTCATCCAAGTTTCTTCCTAGATTTTGGAGTTCCGAAGTACCTGCCTTTGTTTCCAGCATGAAACTTCTTAATGTTAGGGTTGTCAGACCCCCCCGGTGGAGGCGTGAGTCCCCCACTGCCAGGCCCCACCTCCCTGTTGCCAACCAGCTGGCCAGTGGGGGGGGAACTCACCCCGAAAAAGAGGGAGATCCATCCGACATGCAGTGGCATGTCTACATCACTGCTTACATGACCTGGAAGTGATATCATCACGTCCAGGACGTTGGGGTGAAGCTCTGGTATCTGGAGTCAGTTTGGTGTAATGGTTAAGTGTGTGGACTCTAATCTAGGAGAACCGAGTTTGATTCCCCCATTCCTCCACTTGCACCTGGCTGGATGACCTTCGGCAAGCCGTAGTTCTGATAAGAGCTGTCCTTGAAAAAAGAGTAGTTTCTGTCAGAGCTCTCTCAGCCCCGCCTACCTCACAGGGTGTCTGTGGTGGGGAGGGGAAGGGAAAGGAGTCTGTAAGCCGCTCTGAGTCACCTTTGGGTAGTGAAGGGCGGGGTATAAATCCAATCTCTTCTTCTTCTTCTATCTGGGCAAAAATTCTATGGTTGAAGCTAAATTTACCATAGAGCTTTTACCCAAATACCAGAGTGTTGCCCCAATGTCCCAGATGTGATGACATCACTTCTGGGTCATGTGGGCAGCGATGTTGACACATTGTGGTATGTCAGATGGGCCTTCCTGCTGCTCCTAGTAAGTCCCCCAAACCCTGGCTGGTTGCCAGGAGGGACCTGGCTACCCTAATTAGTATTAGTGTTTGGTTATAGCTCACCTCTCTTGTGGAGACTCAAGGTAGATTACATAGTGTAAATTAAGTACAATCAAAAGGATGGGACATCCGATGAACAATATGAAGAAGAAGAGTTGGGTTTTATACCCCGCCCTTCACTACCCAAAGACGTCCCCACAACAGGCACCCCATGAGGTAGGTGGGGATGAGAGAGTTCTGAGAGAACTGCTCTTGAGAGAACACCTCTGAGAGAACCGAGACTGCCCCAAGGTCACCCAGCAGGATTCATGTGGGGGGAGTGGGGAATCAAACCTGGTTCTTCAGATTAGAGTCCACCACTCTTAACCACTACACCATGCTGGCTGTCAGTACAATACAATAGGGATTGGACTGCAGAAATTTGAAAGCAAACCAAAATCTCAAACAGAGTTGAAACAAGGCATGAGCTTTTAACCATGACACATTAAGTCAGGGATGTCGAACTCATTTCTTACGAGGGCCGGATCTGACATAAATGAGACCTTGTTGGGCCGGGCCATGTGTGTGTCATAAAATGTAATGCCAGGTAGCCGAGATATAAACTTTATAAGGGACACAAACGCAAAGGGTTTTTTTTTTTACTTAAAATAAAAACATGCTTAAAACATGAGCACTCAGAATGCCAAAGATGCCTGCAGGCTCAAAAAGAATGGGGACCTTGGTCTACTCCGACCTGGAACCTCCTTAGCACTTACCTGCCATAGGCTTCACACGGACTTTGTACCCGTTGGTGTTCCCTTCCGTCTCTTTCCACTTCATCTGCAGTCTGTCTTCTGACAGGACCGTCAGCTTCAACCGGTTTGATCCTGACATGGGAAAACATTAGCATCTTTCAAACTCTGCTCAGAAAGGAGTACGGAGGATACCGATTGTGCGCATCCTCCTCAAACTGAGCATGGGAAACGATAGAATGGCAGAACAAGTGTGCATGAATGGGAGTTCCGTGGTTTTACTGTATTTCCTGATTCCATTATGGACAATTTTGTAGGATCGCAATAGGGGTTTGGTGTAGAAGTAACCCTGGTTTAAACTTTGCACTAACCATAAAGCGGGTTCCAATCTGTGGTTCTGGCCCCCGGGGCCTTATGTTTGACACCGCTGGATTAGAGCATCAGAAACCAATGGGAATGATAATAAAGACTATTCATTTTACTTGCTGACTCAATGTTCCCTCTAAGTTGTGGAGTTCTGAGAGCAAAAATTCTACTTTGTGAGCTACTGGCATTAAAGTTGTGAGCAAGCAATTTGGCTACTGCATAAATGAGTTTCCTCTGGAGCCATCCTTCATGAGCTAAGACAAAAACGTGTGAGTTGGAGGCTAAGAAACTGTGAGCTAGCTCACACTAACTCAGCTTAGAGGGAACACTGCTTGCTGTTTATTTGTCTTACCCCCAAAATTCTTGTTAGTCTGTAAGTTGCTACTGGACTCAAATCTGTCTGAACCAGTGGAATGGGTAAATAATTGTGAGGTAGCAAACCTATGTCCATTGAAGGCTACAGGGAGAGGCCCACATCAGTTAATATTCTCCCGTATACAAAATGCCCTACACACAGAAAGCTAGATGTCATGAAAGATGGTTCTAATAGGGTCGCCAGCTTCAGGTTGGAAAATTCCTGGAGATTTGGGGGCGGAGCTGGGGGATGGCATGGTTTGGGCAGGTGAAGGACCTCAGTGGGGCGCAATGCCACAGAGTCCACCCTCCAAAGCAGCCATTTCTCACCAGGGGAACTGATCTCTAGACTCAGGAGATCAGTTGGAATTCTAGCAGCTCTTCAGGCCCCACCTGGAAGATGAGTACAAGGAAGGGATCACAGGTGTAGGTACTGTGTAGATTCTCTCCTCCCCAGACCAGTCCAGGAATGGAGGGGAAAGAATTCTACATTGGAACAATGCATTACACAAGAATCAAGAGAGACAACCTCTCTGAATTTACAGACAACAGCCACCAGGAATCTCTCAGCTTAATCCCTCACCAACCTGAGATGAGAGATCCCCAGAATCTCAGTTGGCATGTGGGTTTTACACACTAGCAACTCTGTCCAGAGCTGCACAATTACTCTTACACAAGTAGCAGCATTTGGCGAGCAGCAGGCACCAGGAAAAAGCCTTGGAGTACAGTTACCCAATCCAGACACTATTTATAAACAAGAATAAAGTTTATTCA